GACCGACGGACAGACGGACCGACGGACCGACGGACAGACGGACCGACTGACCGACTGACCGACTGACCGACTGACCGACTGACTGACCGACAGACGGACCGACGAACAGACAGACTAAGTTAAAAATGTTAAATGTGAATTTATAGCTATGGAAGAGCGGTACCTCCTGACACTGACGCTTGACAAGCTTAATAGAAGGTACCATCCACTGTTAATGTAAAGTTAATTGCATTACTGAAATAAACATTTTCTTATTATTATTATTATTATTTATTTTACTAATTCTATCTCAAGCTTTATAAAATTAAAAACGGACACTTACAATCATTGTCTAAATTTTTCAGTGACTCAATAAGGTTCAAGATTCTTTCGTCTCTGTTCGGTTTAAAAGCAATAATTTTTTCGAAAAATATTTTCCAATTTAAATAAAAATTCAGCCCTTTTTCTGGATACAACAAGTCGAAGTCAATGTTTATCTGAAAACAAATATCATAGTTGTCAAAATGATTGGTCTGCGTCAAGATGGAGGAACCCTAGCTCAGAAATAAAACGTAAAACATATGAAAACAGATTACATACCAATATGTCACTTCTTTGGTCTGATAATATTTTCCAGTCTTGTAGAAACTCATGAACGCTCTTGTGTTCACTTTCTTTTCGAACTTTAAATGTATCTTTCCATTTTTGTATTACTTCACCCCATGGTTCGGTGTTATTGTTGAGAAACAGTATATCTCTTAAATGTAAATCTAAAAAAAATCATGTTAGTGTTTCATTTTATCCTTATTGAAATGTTTTGTAAGACTTTCATTATTTACCTGCATTTCAATCAGCTGACAAATGCCTTTCCCACGTAAGTACCTGTTCCTATCTAATAATAATAATATTATAGATTTTTTTTAGATAGAGGACATAGTAACAAAACAACCTATCGAAAATAAACATTAGTTCTGCAAAATTCAATAGTTTAGAAATCATGATTATTTATGTACATTCAATAGCACATCAGACCACACATTTTTATTTGAAAATCGCCTCCAGTGCAACGGAACAAGATACATCAATGTGTAACTTGATACGTTGCCATCCATACTTTTTCAATATTTTCTACTCTAGTCATTAAAACCACCACCAGTATCATAATCGTTATTCAAACAATTTTAACTTAATTTCTCAAGAGAAAACATTGGTTCAGCTCAGATTTACATGAAATTATTCTCAAACCTATCTATTTATCAGAAGTTCTCTATACATATGTTTTTAAACATTTTCTTTTTGTGTACATTATGACCATTAGAGAGTTAAAATTGTAGAAACTCATGAACATGAATTGACTAAAAAATAACGGAGCAATCTAAGAACAAACACAAAAATGGTTCATTGCATGCTAGCTACATGGTTACTACTACTTTAATACCAAATTTCAATTAATTTAGTGGAATAATTTTCAAAATAGACTAGTTTTAAACTTTTGACTAGAGTAGAAAATTTTCAAGAAAGTACATAAAAAAATCATAACTTAAGCTATTGATTTTTGCTAAACTAATGTTTATTTTAAATGGGTTGTTACTCCTATATGTAGAAAAATTTTTGGACCACTGTAAATGGGGCCCACTTACAGAGGATTTCGAGTTACATTTACCTGTATTAAATACCCAGAATGATGCGACTTAGAATACCTACTCTCAAATACCTAAATAGGTTCATAAATTGCTTTAACCCAGTGAAAGTCAGTGGGTTTAATTGCAAGCCCATTTAAAAAAAAATTACCTTGCAAACCTTGAATATACTGTCTTTTAAACGGTGGAGCATTTTCTAGAGTGCCAGATTGTCGCTTGTGTGTGTGGTCTCCATATTTATACAGAAGGTTACGGACTTTGTCCACCAATTTTCCTCGTGCTACTGTAGAACGTCCATTAAATGAATTATTTTTTTTTATAGGTTTGGTAAAATAAGTGCCTATTGACTCCTTTGGAAACAGTGATATTATTTTCGCAGATATAATATTATATTCTTCATAGGTTATCCGGCTAAAAAAATTTTAGTGATGTATTATTGGGAAGTATAAAAGTAATCAGAACACAGTATATACTTACTAATATATACAGTATATACTTACTAATTGACAATGTATGTGTATATATGTTTTATAATTATATCAGTCAACTGGTTTCTCTTGGTATTATTGAGAAAACCATATGTTTCATAGTATTTTAAAATACTATTGCCACCTGCTGACGTATGCAGTAGTGTCTCCAAATCAAAATGTGGAAATGTTTTTCTAGATACACTTTTGGTTGTTTCCAAGATGTCGACCACTTGTAGTTCATCTAATGAAACTAATAAACCGGCATCACTGGTGCTTGTCTCTAATTTACTGGAGGTGGGAGTAATAATGACTTGATCATCAGTTGATTCAGATACTGCATCTGTCGTTGCCTGTAAAGTTAAAAAAATAGACTATTTTGTGTATTTTATAGTCAAGCTATGTTAAGATAGTCAGTATGAAAGCACTTTCAACTAAATTTTTTAACTTAAACATACAGGTCCCTCACCTGTGCAGTAATAAGCTCCCCTATCTTTTCCTCTAAAGATAGTCTAGTCCCCATATGTGGGCATAATTCTTTCAAATTGTCTAGTTTTAATTTGGGGAAATGTTCAATTGTTATACCATTCTCTGCAAAAGTAGTCAAGTTTGTAAATAAAGTCAAATTAAATCAAATATCTTTTTATGTATTTTACTTCTAGTTTAATAACACACACACTCAATAACACATACACTGAATATACCCCGCACTAGGGAAACCCTGTGTCGCGAGTGCCATGAACACACACATAGACAACCACAAACTGCACCCAAACTCACGAGAGAAATAAATGTAGGCCGTATAAATATTTCTCCCGGCCCAGGAATCGAACCTGGGACCTCTGCGTGGCAGTCCGGCAAGGTAACCGCCACGGAGGCAGTTAAAAGTTAGTTTCTATTGTAAAATGCTAATTGTCGAAGTCACGCATTTCAAAGGTAGATACATTATTTTTAATAAACAATGACGACATTAAATCGGGATTCTAAACAGAGATTATTTACATAAAAACTCATAAATTAAATAATCCCATGTTTAAGTATACTGTATACCTATTTCTAGGAAAAGTTCGTCTAAGATCCCTCCATTTTACGCTTACATTCAACGTTACGTACAAAATATCATCATGTGCATAAAAATGTAATACTTACACAATTAATTCATAATAACATCAAATCACTCACCAATAAAATTGGTCACTACAACTTGTGGTATATTCCACGATTCCAAAAGTTCTTTCAACGAATCCATTACTGTTTCCACAAACAACAAATAGAAAAATCAGTTCCTTTTTAAGATTTTATTCTCCTTGCCTTACCTTTTTAAGATTTCAAGTAAAACTAAGTAAGTATAGTTCACTTTGCTTCACATTTTAAATAATTGGCTATTGATTTATGGATGGCTTCTTCAATCGCAGATACCACGGCCACGAAGACGGAGCGCGCGCGTTTTCAACATGTCACGACATGATTGAAAATGACAAAGCAAAATGTTGCCATAAAAAATGTATTCTCGAATTTAGAATATTACTCTTATTAGCAAAATAACTTTTTTTTTATCTAAGAAAATATTTTCTTAAAATACATCCAAGAAATTGGGGATTCATTTGAGATTATTTAGATTTGATGTAAGAGGAAAAAATTTCTTGATGTAAGTAATGTCCAATTAATTGATTAGAAATGAAATAAAATCTTGAAGTGAACGTATTTGTCTCAAAGTTAGAATAAAGTTAAGAGTAAAATTGTATTAGAAAAAGATAAGCAGTATCTTTGTAATGACAATATTTTATTACTTTAAATAAATATGTTTTCAGAATTAGCAAATATTTTGAGAAATTGCTCTTTCTTATTAGTAGAAATCCTTTTTTTCTGTGCGTTATTGTTTTTTTGGTGTTTTTCCATGAATATATTGTTAAGTTTCTCATTTCGTTAGACGTATTAGGGCAAACGTGGACTATGTCCCTAAAACCTCGGCGTATGAGACGCCCTTGCTGAATGCCAACGCAACAATTTATATCAATTCTCTTTATGTTGATTCAATTTTACAGATCTAAACATATTGGTTCTCTCCACAGACCACATAAAGTGGTTCTCTCTTTTGAAGTAACACAAAAAATGCCAAATTAATTTAGGTTCATGCTTGAAGAAAATGTAATAATAATTTATTTATTTAATCCTTTTACATATTATTATTATTATATGGTATTACTAAACAAAAATCTGTCCCCTGACTTTTAAGCTAGGCTAACCTGTGTTATGAAAGTCAGTGGTTCGGTTGTTTAATAACTTTACAAGCAAAGTATAGAATATTACAGAATATTCTCAGTACAGAGTACTAAAAAAACCGACCTCAAAACTATGTGGAATTACGTCTATTTGCTATGAAATATCCTAGTTCGCCACTATACAGGATTTGGAGATAATAAAAATCAGTTCTCACTACTCAAAGTATATTGAAAGAAAAACGCCTTGAATTTGAGAAATAGCAAAATCAACCATTAAAATAATTGCTCCTAAATTAAAGTTTAGGCGCTATTTATAAAAATGAATCTTCATGCGTGAACAGCCACCCTTAGAGGTGGATGATTTTCTTCAAAATGAAATGGGACCACTATGGAAGTACCCCCTTTCCAACAAAAAAGAATCATGAAAATCGGTTCACAAATACCGGAGTTATCGCGTAACATACATACAAAAAAGAAGAAAAAAGAAAAAGAACATACAGTCGAATTGGGAACCTCTTCCTTTTTTGAAGTCGGTTAAAAAGACATAAGGTTAATAGTTATAATATATGATGAAAGTGATTGGCGAGGGTCAAGGGTGTAAGAGTGAAAGTGTCTGTGTTTGTATATGGGGAACGTAAAATAACCCATTTTAGTAATAGTTCTGTTTCATCGTAATTAAGCTTTAACAGCCAAGTACTTATTCTATTTTTACAATATTCCTTAACACAAAAATTATTATACCTTAGCCAATAGTAAAGGAAATTATTCGATAGATTTTCAGACTAAAGAACAAAGAAACCATCTTTTTATATACATATAATACTTACATTAGTGTAGTGATGAAGTAACTGAGATGTACCTTATTTAGTAGCTACTTCCGATTTCCGCGAATTGTTTTTTGAGGGTACGTTAATCGGAATGGCATTGCACATTTTGCACCAGTATAGTAATTATCGTGTAATATATGCACAGGGTGTGATTTTAATTTCATTACACTCGCGGGGATTGATTTCACCCGTTATTAGGAACTTTTACTATGAGGATCTCTTTGTAAATCTTGAAGAAATAATAATGACCAGAGAAAAAATATGGAGTAACTGCTTTTTGACGGCCCCACCGAATAAACGTGTAAAGGAAAAGCGGCAACTTTACAGGATCGATTAAAAACTTAAAAAGTAATGTTACTCATTGTGGATTGGATATACTAAAATACAATGTATGACCAAATAAAAAATAAAAAACATTATATCTTATATTAAAATATGAAACATGATAATATTGATAGATTATCAGAAATGAATAAAAAACCCTTTCAAATTTTTATTCGAGTAAAAATTACTTTGGCGACCATTGACTTACAAATAAATGGACGACGGATCTAATACAAAAACCACGAAAAAAATGTCCCAAGTCAACCTATTTAAACGTAGTGACATGTAAAGGAATATGAAAAAGCTAAAACGTTGAATTTAAATTGTAATGTCATCGCAGTACTGTTTAATTTGGCTTGCTTCGCTGTCAGTCGAACAAACGAAGACTAAAGCGTGAATGACGCTCTGTATACGATTTTAACGCCCTATAAGTTCGGACACTTTTTAGCGCGGACCTGACGGTCCATATAATTGTAAGTCAATGTTGGCGGCTACTCGCTTGTAGTGTTTACATTATTATTCGTGGGCAAAGTTGTATATTTACTTTTAAATGTAACATAATATTACTTTGTTTTACTGTGCATATTAAAATTTGTCAAAGCGAATATTATATACTTGCATACTTATTCTAGTAATTGATTATAAATTTTAAAAGTTAGTTTCTTGTAAACATGCAAGAGTAGATAGCGTAATAATAATAATAACACACACACTCAACATAGCCTACTAGGGAAAATCCTGTGTCGCGGGTGCCATGGATATACATACATATATATAGACAACCTCATATTACACCCAAACGTACGAGAGAAATAAATGTAGGCCATACAAATATTTCTCCCGGCCCGGGAATCGAACCTGGGACCTCTGTGTGGCAGTCTGGCATGGTAACCATTCGGCCACGGAGGCAGCGTGCAAAACACATGCAATAGTCGTGTGAGATTGTTGAGTTTAATGTACGTAGAATAAACAATGATTCGAGTACCGAAAAATTATACAATAATTAATAATTAATTCTGAAAAAAAAAATCAAAAATGCACAAAAAAAGTCACCGTAAAAAGCGTTTACACGTTTATTAGTTGGGGCCGCCCCGTTTTCTTGTTCATATTAAAAAGTGGAATTACCCTGCTACGGTTACAGCATATTTAACACTCTATGCACATTGTGATATGAAAGAAAGTCATGTCCCTGCGTTTTAGCCAATGGTGCCAGATGTTTTTCAACTAACGCTAAATTTTTAATTTTTTTAAACCAAAAACGAACTGAATTCGTCTGCGCACACAGAATGGTATTTTAATTTAGCGAACAGGGTTTATAGAAATATATTTTTCTAAAAATAGCGTGATTTTTGTCATGCGCGTGCTATTTAATTTTAACCTGAAAAAGCGGCACGTCCCGCCAAAATCGGGACGTTCTGGGAACTCAGATTACGATTATCTTATCCATCACGAACTCTATTAAATATGCTAAAAGTATTCAAATTTCACTTTTTTCGTAACGAGGAATAGAGTACGTCTACATATACTTCTCAAGTAACATAGTGAATAATACTTCTTTCTGAAATCTCGGAATGATTATAAATACAAGACAAAAAATCAATCGTGGTTAAAAAATACGCAGTACATACGTCATTTTGACGTCAGTAACTAGAGATACGGACGTATGTTTTGATTTTAGCATAATTTATAAAGAGTTTTTCATCACGCTGCTGCGTCTCTTAAATTGTTTGCTAGGATATTATAACCCTACCCATATGTACCTCAATGCAGCATTGATGTGTTCCGGAATCCAGCGTAGAAAGAGCCAGCGCAATCCAATCAGAATATTCAAATCTCTTCACTCACCTACACACTGAGTTACAAAAACTTTATATTTTCATATATTAGCAATAGAGGTCCTTGTGAAAGAGTTCGTCCAGAGAAGTACTGCCACCTCACCTATTTCTATCGTCAAGCAGTAATTTGAGCATTGGAATGTGAACGTTCCGGTGAAATTATTGGCACACGGGACATAACACCTTATGTCTTATGGTGACAGGCGCAGTGACAGTGCTGTCAGATCTTTGCGATTTAAAGCTCTGAGTGGCACTGCAACTGTTATGGAGAGGCGTGTAACTCACCACCAGGCACACGACAAAAAATGTCACACGACTTACACATAAATAAGTAAATAGCACGCGAAACCTAATACTGTCTTAACACAAAATTACGAAACTGAGAGGACACTCTCAGTCTCATTCTCTTTGAAAATTAAAAAAAAACTGAATGAAACCAATATATCATACCGTTAATACAAGAGTGTATTAAGTCAAAAAGTGTAGGTACTTTTTCAGAATTGATGAAAAACGAATTACTCACTTCCCGTGAAAGATTATTAAAATATATGTATAAAATAAAGTATATTACAGACATCTAAATAATTTCATACTTTCCAAGAATATTTAAAAATAATAGGGATAAAGTAATTTCATGTTTTCTAGTAAGGGCTGTTTTGTCCAGAACTAGCTCACATAAAGTTGATCCAGTTTTGAGTTAAGTAGATATCTTTTAATTGTTCCTTCCAATGTTCTAACGACGGTTTTATTGACATTATTTATTATTTATTTATTGACATTGTAGAGAATCAAATTTTAGGTTCGGTTTCAGAACTTTAAAAGAATTTTGTATTAATAGGATACATGGTGCAATATAATAACTAATATAAATAAAAACTGCCTCCGTGGTCGAACGGTTACCATTCTGGATTGCCACTCAGGGGTCCCGGGCCGGGAGAAATATTTGTGTGGCCTACATTTATTTCTCTCGTGACTTTGGGTGTAATTTCTGGTTGTCTATTTGTGTGTCCATGGCATCTGCGATACAGGGTTTTCCTAGAGCTGGACAATGAGTGTGTGCGTGTTATTATTATTATTTTTATAATATCAAATGATGGGACGAAGAAGTCGTGCGCTTGATTGTAAGCTACACGCCTGTCCATAACAGTTGCAGTCACTCAGAGCTTTAAATCGCAAAGATCTGAGGGGCACTGCCAATGCGCCCGTCACCCTAAGACATAAGTTGACAAGTCTCATGTGCCTGTAATTTCATCAGCACGATTCGAAACCGGAACACAGTAATGCTGACGTTACTGGTTGGCGGCAGAAATAGGTAAGGTGGCAGTACTTCGCTGGACAGACTTTTCACAAGGAGCTCCAATGCTACTAAATAATAGAAGTAATCATATTCATGATACCGAAATAAAAGCAGAAAGCTTTCTTCATTACTCCAGTCTAAGAAACAAGTTATACCCAGTAGTGAAATAATAAACTTAAGAACAGAAGACGAACACAGTCTTCCAGTCAGTGTCTGTTAAGCCGGCCAAGCACATAGCAAGCCGGCTTAAAAAAATGTTATTACTCGTTAATACAAATGTTGGTTACTAACGGGAAAACGGAGGTCGATAGGTGAAATGTTACCCCAATTTTTGTTTTATGTATTTTTTTGTGAAATTTGTTGTTGGTTGGAATACGATTACCAACTTAATATAGTGATATATTTTTGTCACATACTGTATATATGTGAGATAAGTACTCTTATACAACTGTTATTTGTTCCATTTTTGTAGTCACGTCTCTAGTAGTGTAAATGTATGGTTGGTTGTTATGTGATTAGTTTCACAAGTTATTGTATTACAATAACTTGGTTTGCTTTAGATTCCATTGTTGAACAGGCTTTCGCAAACCGTGAACAGAGAAGTTATTCTCTAGTAATATAGAGATAAAGCACATCATTTTTTAAATTATCAAGTGACCCTTACCCTTCAAAAGTAGTTTAGTAGCAGTAGAGCTCCTTGTGAAAGAGTTCGTCCAGGGAAGTACTGCCAGCTTACGTATTTCTGCCGCCGAGCAGCATTACTGTTCCGGTTTTGACGGGTAAGGGTACTGGTGAAATTACAGGCACATGGGACTTGTCAACTTATGTCTCAGGGTGACGGGGTGATTTAAAGCTCTGAGTGTCGTTCAGCTTACCATCAGGCGCACGACTTGTTCGTCCCGTCACTTGATATAATAATTTAAAAAAACTGAAACGCAGTAATGCTCACATTACTGCTAGATACAACACACTGTGGTCTGTGATACAACATGACTATTATCTGTGTAAAAAAAACTGTATTTCTTTCTTATTTATTTAAACTTTTTTGCGTAATATAATATAGTACAAATGGCAGATTTAACGTTATAAGACTTTCTCTACCCGTCAACCTTTGGACCAAACAGAAAAAAATAACATGATAATAAATGAGTAATGTTATAATTAATTTATGTGGAATCATCATCCATCCATTTATATGTCCCACTGCTGGACACGGGTCTCCACGCGACGGCTTAGACAGTCCATGTTGTCACCATGCTGGCCCAATGGGGGTTGGAGACTTCAGACGTTTTCTGAGGGTTGTGTATCTTCTTCAACGTGCAGATTTCATCACGATGTTTACCTTCTTCGAAATGCTCATGTTAAATGTCAAATTAAAGTTCGCACATAAATTTCGAGAAAATTAGAGGTGCGATTCTGGATTCGAATCCACGGCCTCTGCTTGAGACGCAGTAGGTCAAACCATCAGGTTACCATGGCTTATGTGGTATATACATATAACATGTCAACTTCCAAATAACATGTGTTTTCACAAACAAATTAATTATGATTATGACTGATAATGATTATTACTCATAGCTCCGCACTAGGGAAACCCTGTATCGCAGGTGCCATGGACACACACATAAACAACCACAAATTACACCCAAACTCAGAAAATACATAAATGTAGGCCCTATACAAATATTTCTCCCGCCCCGGGAATTGAACCCGGGACCTCTGCACGGCAGTCCAGCATAGAAAAATGAATATAATATAACATAAGCATTCGATAAACATAAATATATGTATGTATATTATAATAATATCTAAATACCCACTACAACATGATGTAGTCTTTATCTTGAAGATTAATAATAATAATAATAATAACGCATACACTCGACATAGCCCCGTACTAGGGAAACCCTTTGTCGCGGGTGCCATGGACACACACATAGACAACCACAAATTACACCCAAACTCACGAGAGAAATACATGTAGGCCATACAAATATTTCTCCCGGCCCCAGAATCGAACCTGGGACCTCTGTGTGGCAGTCCGGCATGATAACCGTTCGGCCACGGAGGCAGATTGTCAAGAAGATGCTTAAATATTAAATATTTAATCATCTTAATAAAGCATAACAGAAAGTATAATTCTATTGCAAACTGAAGATAATATGTTTATAATAGATCTTGCGTACATACATATATAAATATAGAACATGCGCCGTTATATACACTTTATTTGCGCAGGAGTCGCTATATCGATATTAGAATCCCAGTTGCGTGGCGCGCGTGATCGCGCACACACGTTTCAAGAAATTCTATATTTAAATATATATATATATAATTAGAAAATTAAGCAATAATAAACGTACAAAAACTGGAGCGTAAAAAATAAACAGCCTTGTGATAAATATAAATATGGCCAACGAAATTCGTTTTAGTAAGCAAAAGCGCGGGAAATAATTTATTCACGTTAAGATTGAAATTGTTGATTGAGGATATCAAGAGTGCCGTATAAGCAATTAGTCGGTGAAAAAAAAAACTAAATTAAAAAAGAAAATTATAAGACCCATTTTGCATCTAATCGCCTTAAAAGACAAAAATCGTAGAAGAATTGAACCATCAATAAAACAATTTACTATTTCAAATTTAAAATGTCGTCGACACCAGATCCTGAAACACCAACTCCGTCAGGAACACCAACTGAGACACCTATGCCGTCACCAGGGCCTGATGCAGTCAATAAATTCAACTTCCTAAAGAAAGTCAAAGCAGCCAGAAACAATCCTTTTGTTAAACTGAGACCATCTTTGACTAGAGAGAGTTCGACTGCGGAATTATTTTCTAGAGAAAATTCTAGTGCTAATTTCTTTGAAAATTCAAGAATAAATCTTTTCGAAACTGCGCCAAAACCGGAGGTTTCCTGTTCGAATGGAAAGGTAAGAAACATGTTTTCTGATTCCACAAGATATAGGAAAAAAGAGATTCGTTACTTCTATTGAATCCTGTTAAATATTTAGAACTTATTTATATCAAGCATGAGATACTTCCACTGTAGTGATAGTGAACTGTTTATTTATTAAAAATACCAACACCTTAAAATGAAATTAAGTAGTAAGTGAAAGCTCATTATAAGTTTTTTTTATTGAAAGTGCGATTTGACCTCCGTCTCAACCATCGAGTATATAAGCAGAAATAGAGGCGAAATAAGGGCCGTATATTCCTGGTAACACATTAGCGATACAGCTCTTATAAATATCAACTCTCGTTTGCACTGAAATATAGACAGGCCAACTATTGACCTATGTACGTCTCCGCATATTCCAAAAAATATTCTGTATTTATTGTAATAAAGATTATTATCTTTATTGCAATAAATACTTAATTAATTATTTATTTATTTCTTAATTACAATAAATCTCTAACAATGCCGTGCTGTTCAATTCGGTGGTGTGGCAAAAAACAGCAAAACATCTAATTACAAAACAAACATAATCACATTTCATCGGTAATTAAATATTAAATATGTTGAAAGACCAAGTACAAAGACACGACGCAAGCACATAGAAAAATTCGTGAGGTCCGTTGGTTCGTTCCGTGGCTAAGTTGGTATAGCGTCTGGCACAGTACGCAAGAAGACGTCGGTTCGAATCCGACCGCATCGAAGGAATTTTTTCTCAGTGTTCGATCTTTGTATTCATAATTATAACTAACTAGTGGAGTAATTTCACAAAAAATAATTGAATATCAATTCAATAAAAATTTAATTAATTAAATATGTAATTTAGCAATTTTCGTCCATTATAGCAAAGCTCAAGTTAACTGGTCGATTTGAAGTGAAACAGTTGACGACACCCATTGACGACACCCGTCAATTGTTTCGAATTCGGGCTGCCCAATCGGAGCGCACTTGTCACAGTAATGACGTGGCAGACTAGTTTTCAAACAAATTAAATGACATTTCGTCTCAATTTCTGGTTATATACTCGATGGAAAAAATAATTTATTACACTTTTAAACTTACAATTAACAAAACAAATAATGTGCATAAATCTATATCCATTCTTCGCTCATAAATATTCAACATGGGACTTTTCAACCTATGACTCAGGATGACAAGCCCAATGGCAGTGCCCCACAGATCGTTGCGATTTAAAGCTCTGAGTGTCATTGCAATTGCAATAGACTCGACAGGCGTGTCGCTTATCACCAGACGCACGACTTATTCGTCCCGTTAGTTTGTATAATTTATTTTTATTTATTATTAAGGCCATATTGTTTTTTTGTCATCTGTCGGGTAATTTAAAAATTCCTTTTTAATAAAAGTGTCTCTCTTTACTTCTAATATACACTTCTAAGTGTCGTTTAAGGGTCTCTTCGTTATCAAGGTCGTAGGTATCCATTCAAAGTATTTTATAAAGACCGAAACGGGGCGAACGTGGTGGATTAGGTCACGGCTTTGTAAATATGTGTTTGGCATTATTACACGGCACCTTTACAACTAGTGGTGAGTCGCATTTGCATTTCGGTAACTTACGAAAAACTTAAGAAGATGTAAAAAAAATCAATTAAGTCCCCTGACTGTAGATTTCGTTTCGATAATTCCAGATATGTTAATAACGAATTTCGCTAGAAATGTCAATTACGTTAGTTATGTAAGGAGCCCTCCTTACATTTATGTAAGGAGCCCTCCTTACATAACTAACGTAATTGACATTTCAGCCCAGTGCCTCTACCAGTTCTGTTATAGTTGTCGCTAGCGACCGCGGAAATTACTTCATAATTTTGCATGGCAAGTTATACAGCGCCCCTGGCGGTTACAAGAAGAAACAACATTTCGTATACAAACATTTTACGCGGTCGCTAGCGATAACTGTCACTGTAATCTCATGGTAGAGGCACTGTTCTGTTTTTTTTTTCATGAACTTTCCCGCTTATTGTAAAATGCGCGGTAAAATATTATTGAAAAAAATGGCAATAGACAACACAATTTAATAGAAAAAAGTTCTATTTTTTGTTTAAAATTGGCTAGCAACAAAAACCGCACCGACATTTGGGCAACCCAATAATAGTTTAATTTCTAATGTCTAACAATCGTGACAATCTAACGAACGACTCGAAATGTTAATATCTTTTTCTGTCAACATTATAAGTTACATTCATTCGTCATGAATAAATTAGACGTTAGACTAATTAACTACGTAAACAAAAACAATCTACGTCCATTATTGCTAAAGCAGACAAACCGATTATGAAAATATCTTTATTATCTTTCACAAAATAAATTATCATATAATTTCTTTTGTGAAAGATAGTAAAGATATAAAGATAGGTATGATTATATACATCATACTTTAAAATTGTCTTTCTACTAATTCAAATTAAAGAGAAATATTTTTTTGAAATAGTTTTTCGGCCCTGGTGTAAAGTCCTATTTTTCGAGATACGACAAGATCGTTTTCCGGCGTCGTTATATATCTGTGGTCCTCAGAGATATTGAATATAGTTTCATTTGTGAAAGTTTGGTATCCATCCTAGTGGATTAACTCGTGTCCTTCCGCCTCTTAACATATGTAAGAAAAATGAGCATAAGTACTTAAACAATTTAAAAATAAAAGCAAGTGAAAATTAAGTGTTGTAAAATTAGTGATGTTTAATAAGAAGTCTTAAAATGATACAATTTTTTGTTATGTCCATGAACAAAAGTATTACACTAGAGTATTCAACCCTGGATATGAAATATCCATATATATCCATAACAATATAATATCCATAATGTCACCCTGACACGTAAGTTGACAAGTCCCATGGGCCTGTAACTCTCCAGCACCGTTACTCTTCCAAACTGGAACGTAGTAATGTTCATATTACTGCTTGGCGACAGAAATTTATTTATTTATTTTTAGGAAGATTTACAGCGAATTTTTAACAATAAATAAATGTTGAGTAACAGGTGAAAATGCTAATTACAAATCTACACAAGTAGCACAAAAAATAAGTTATTAAATTTTTAGTCAGCAGAAACTAAAACATTATTATTAAAATGTCGAACTACATAATATTATTTTACACATTGAGAACAGGTACAATTGTTAATGCAGGGGAAAAAAAGGAAAAAAAGAAACAAAAAAAAAAGGAAAAATATTAAACCCTATATAGCCCAACCAACAACACGCACATCTTAAAGACAGGAAACAAAATAATGAGAGATAGATAATTACGTAAAATATTGCTTAGTAAACGTTCGTCGAATCAAGACTGAACAGATCTATGTCAATAGACGATTGATTGTACTCCTTAATTGCTCTGATGAAAAATTAATTTTGCCTATAATTGGTGTTCGCCGCGGGCACACACAGCACCGGTCGACGCCTGAGACTCAGCTGATTAGTCCTAAAGGATAATTTAGACAGTAGTTCGGACGAGTCAATTTTACTGTTTATTATGTTATACAGATGTCATTAATTTTTCGCCTATTATCGAGAGGTACAAAATGATAACGCTTACAACGCTTCATATAGCCTGCCGTTCGCTGTTTTGTCTTATAATCTAAATAACTCAAAAACTTTTTTTGTATGGCTTTAATACGTGATTTGTAAACTTCGTATCTAGGGTTCCACACCTGAGAAGCATATTCGAGAACACAGCGTACAAGAGAACAGTACAATATTTTAATAGGTTTTATGTCGGAAAAATCATTACATGTCCGCATCAAGAACCCCATGGCTCTATATGCTTTTGCAACTATACTCTCAATATGTTTATCGAAGAGCAACTGGGAATCAAAATACATGCCTAGATCCCTAACACTGTCCACTCTATTCATACAACTCCCTAGGAAACTATAACCTCCACCGATAATGGTTTTTTTACGCGAGTAAGATATTACGAAACACTTAGTTACATTTAAGTCAAGTTTATGAATTCGACAATAAGCTACGAACTGATCAAGATCATCCTGTAGAGCCTGAACGTATTGATTTGACACAACTTTTTTGAGGATTTTCATGTCATCAGCATAAAGTAATACTTCTGAGTTATTTAAACAAAGTTGGATATCATTAATAAATATGATGAACAATAATGGACCGAACAGAGACCCTTGTGCCACGCGCGAGGGAACAAAATTCCAAGTGGATCTATAACCGGAAAGTACCACTGCTCGACTGGGCCTATCAATATAGGATGAGAACCATCTATATAGATTACCGTGGACACCAGCCCTCGATAATTTATCAAATAATATTGTGTGGTCAATGCGATCAAAACATTTACTGTAATCAGTATATAGAACGTCCACATGAGCTCCGTCCTCCATACTAGTCGAAATAAAATCAGCAGCCGCAACTAAATTGGACGTCGTGGAACGGTTGTGAAGGAAAGTATGCTGACATTCACTAAAAGAAGTCTTTAGAGCAGCGTACACTTGCTTATATACTAACTCTTGAAAAAATTTAGCAATTAGACATAATTTTGATATGGGTCTATAATTCTCAATATTATACTTGTCCCCTGTTTTGTGTACTGGAGTAATGAATGCAGACTTCCACATCGTAGGCACGATGCCTTCTCTAATAGACCGCTTGAATAGGATAGAGACAGGAACCACCAATGATTCAGCACAGTTTACAAGAAGCACAGCCGGCACAGAATCTAGTCCTTCACCTTTGGATAAGTCGAGAGATTTCAGTAATTTCAAAACTTCAGACAAACAAACTTCAATAGAGGATATACTACACCCAGAACAATCCATATGTTCACATACACAGAGTCACGCCCCCTCCACTGAGGACTGATGCTCGTAGTGGAAAAATTTGGCTGGCAATAAGTGGCAAAGAGGTTACTAATTGCTTCACCCGTGGTGACAGTTACATTGTTATATTTCATGTTATTAGGTACGGACGAAGATTTGTACTTACTCTTGAATAGTTTATATTAT